AGTTCATTATTATGCATGTATGAGTTCATGTTCAGGTGATGGTTTCCAGGCTCATTATATATTTGTACATTTTTATACTTTAAATATGTGCAGTACATTGTATGTCAATCTGCCTCCTCTGACCAAAAAGAAATCACCTCATGTAACCCCTACCCACCCATCATCCTCAGCTCTAACCACTGATTAACATTTTTGCATATTAAAGTGTAATATTGATAAACTCAATGAGTAGTCTCAAGTAAATGAAGACCAAACTTTAGAAAAACTACAAAGAGCAAAATTTGAAACCCCAAATGACAGAAAGGAGAGTTCTGACCTCTAGACCAGGGTTGTTCCATCTTCTACAGGATTTGCTTTATCAAGAGAACCGCAAACATTCAAAGGATGTGTGAACAAATGTGTATGCACACTCACACACAGTGTGGAAGGAGGAGAGATGGCAGGATTTCAGGGCTGGGAAATCCCTAAAGAAAACCAGGGGTATGCCTGTTCTGGGCTCCTCTACCACCAGCATGGGAATGTTTCTCTATGATCACCTGCCTATTGTGGAGGAGATTCATGAGAAGCCACAGTTTCCTTCCTGACATAACATGGAGTTTGCCGTTGTTCACTCCAAGGATCACAAGACTCACCAACCTCTAGACCCTGGTGCACACAGGTCCTTGCCAAATGCTGTCATCCTCCTGGAAGTCCTTCAGAGCCAGCCAAAAACTGGGCAAGGACACAAGGTAGCAGAGCACTGACCCACTCATCCTTGGATGGGTCAAGGACCACCTTGTTGGAGCTGCAGAATCTGTTGGAACTCTGCACAGTGTGCCAGAGGGAAGCCCTGCACAGTGTGCCAGGGGGGAGGATCAACTCTTCAGGAAGTCAAAGTCAAAAGTGAGTTCAGACAGAGAGGAAGTTACAAGGGCAACCAGTGGGGCTGGACAAAGCGCAGGAGGAGAGGGATGGAAGGACAGATTCTAGGGCCTTCTAGACTATACCACTGACCCACTCCTCTGGGAAAATGCTACCCCAAACTTAAAGGATGCAACAACAAACATTTGTGGTCTCACAGTTCTACAAAACAGAAATTTAGGACTCAGCTGGAGGCTCCTGATGTCTCTCAGGTCTATGGACTCACCTGAGGTTAAGTTATTGCAAGATCTGCTTCCACACTGAGTCCCACGGTTACTGAAAGGACTCAAGACAGAGACCTAATATCTCCTCATGGGTTGCTCTCTCTGTCCTAAGACTCATAAGCCTCTCTTTGGGCACCACGAGAGAACAGCAGCTTCCCCAGAGCCAGAGTTCCAAGGGACGCAGAGAAGAAAATAATAGAGACAGAGCAAAAATGTTAAGTAAATCATGGTGAAGTGACACCATATGCCATTGGTCATGTTCCGTAGCTAAGGAGTGAACAACTAAATCCAGTCCACACTCAAGCATTCAAAGGGAGGGGGTTGCTTAGGATGTGCACACCAGGGGTGAGGGTAACTGGGAGCTGTTAAGCACAAGGTCCAGCCACAAAGGCCAAGTTAAGGCCCTTAGGTCTGAATCTAACTATAATGGGAAGCATTCAGAAGGCTTATGGACCATGAAGATATCTGAATTAACTGAATTTCAACCCTCTCATGATGCAAACAGGGAAAGGCCAAGAAGGGAAGCAACATTTTCAAGGTCACAAGGTAGGATCCCAGACTTATTTTTAGCTATATTCTATGCCACATCCAAAACCTTTCACTATTTCATCTCCAACTTTGTGCATTACCTACATGTGACAGCAGCCCACAGTGTTTCTCACACATGCCTGATGATGTCACTAGGAAACAGATGCTAGGATGACCACCAGTGTGCAGGGAGACTAGGGAAGCCCTAAAGACATGATGCCTTGAACAGGGTCACAGGAGAGGTCAGGAAGAGAAGGTGGAGCTAATCCAGGTCTGTTCCTTGGAGCTGGGACACTGCAGGTACCCAGGTCTGTCACAGAAATTCAAGGGCCAAGGATGGAGACACTGTGTGTGCATACAAAAATATACAGGGGCATGAGAAGAGCAGACAGTGGCCCAGAGGGACATATGTGGTCTCATCAGAAGTGGGAGTCAGGTTAGGGTCCCAAAGACATGACTTCACTTCAATGGTGACAGATCCAAGTAGCACAAGAAACCCCAGTATCCAGGCACATACATTACAGCAACAGTCCTCTCCCTAGCTCACTCAGCCAGACATCGGGGATGCAGAAGGATGTTACCTCTCAATTTCTAAGGCCAAAGCCTCAGGATACCCCACAGCCAAGCAGTCTCTGGTGCTACATTCCCCTATCCCAGGACTCAGCCTCAGGACATCTCAAAGCCATAACCTAAGGCACAAAGTGCTACCCTGGTTCAGCAGCTACCCAGGAAACATCAGGGTTTTCATAGAAAGAAACCAACATATAGTGAAGGGAGTGACATGCTCTGCTGTATCCTGACTTCCCATGGTCATGGGTGTCTTCAGGAGGCCCCAGAATGAGAGCTGCACTGGGGGCTGTATCTCACCTCTCAAGGACCAGACTCAGTTTGATCACAAAGACAGATTCCACAAAGGGTCCTATGCTGGTTTCGACTCTGCTCTAGACATCAGGGCATCTATGAGGAGGAACCAATGGGTGATACCCATCAGCCAAGGGCAGGTCCATCCAGGCCAGTCCACACAGTAAAGCCCCTTGAGTAGCCCCACACCTTTCCTTTTGAGTGTGGGCAACATGAGGCAAGAATAGGTGGTGGGAGATTATGAGCCTGGTATCTTGTCATGGTCACCCAAGGACAAAGGTGACAGGTGGGGAAAGGGAGTACACAGGTGAAGCCTGGGCCCCCAGTGTCATCTCTTGTTCTCCCAGGATAGAAGCCTGTGTGATAGAGGGTCTGTATTGATGTGGGGAGCAGAGTTCACCAGGGGCAGAAATGGCCTAAACAACATTCTGGTAGAGCTGGGGGCTTCCTGACAGCTGCCAGGCACTATCTTAAGACTCTGTCCTAGGACTCATAAGCATCTCTTAGGGCACCATGAAAGAATAGCAGCTTCCCCAGAGTCAGAGATCCAAGGGAGGCAGAGGGGGGAAAATGAAGAAAATAACAGAGACAGAGCACAAAAGGTCAAGTAAATCATGCTGAAATGATACCACATGCCATTTGTCATATCCTATAGGTTACAGTGTGTCACTAAAGCCAGTCCACACTCAAGCACTCACAGGGAGGGGACTGCAGATTACCACTGAGGAGATGTAGAGTGCAAGTTTGGCTCAGTGAGGAGGAGGCACCAGCTTAACCTCAGGGTGACAATGGGTACAAATGGGACTCCACATGCAGGGCACAGAAGAACAGAGGGGTATCTGGAGCCCAAAGGCCACCTCCCTACAGGTCTTGAGGGATGGAAGGACCACAATCCTGTACCCTATGGAACTAGGCTTCAACTCATCATCCATCCCCATACTCTGTGCCCAGCCTTGGCCTTCACCAAGTGCAAGATCAACGTCCATATATTGATGGAAACCTCTGGAAAGCCACATGTCATCGTTTCACTTCGCTTCCTCTCCATTCTGACATTTCACCTCATTTTAACTCTAGTGCCAGTTGTCCATGTGGCAGTGGCCTAGCTGTCCTGCCACATTCTCTCAAAATATTACAAGGTTAGCTGTATTGAGCCAAAACATCAGGGGACTCTTGCTACTCTGTCCAATAAGAACACCCCGTAGGCTGGGTGGACAGGAGCTCCTCCCTGAGCTGTCCCACATTCCAGAAGGGAACCAGTTACCACCATCATCCAGACGCTCAGGGCTGTGTGATGACAGCCTGGGTGACTCACACAGGACCCTCTTGCTGAAGATAAACTTCCATCTACTCCTCTAGAATGGATGGTTTCAGTTACTCCTGGGATGACTCTCCTAATGCAGGGAGCTGCCGCCACTTTTGAGGCCTCTCCTGCTGTGGCCCACCCACATCCTCCTGGTTCCTTCTGGATCACTGTCCAGCAGCAGAGTCAACAGCCAGGTCGCCATGCCAGGCCCACATGAGCAACACGGAGGCCACTGATTCCCACATCTGCTGGAGTATCTAGAAACCACTGAGGCAGAGCCCGAAGGTGAGGAAGATGGGGGCCTGAGACTGGGTGATGGACTAGACCTGGCCAACTAGTGCAGACCCTCCAGAAGCTAGTGCCAGTTTCTGAGCTGTATCTTGAACCTGCTCCCATCTCACAGTGACCCTTCCCCTCCCTTGACATTTTATTCCTTTTCCTTTTTATTTGACTAGTTTCTTTTCATTTTATCATTAATTTTTTTAAAAAATTTAACATTTTACTCACTTTGAAATGCTTAGTTCAGTGCCATGAAGTCCATTTTCAATGTCAAGCAGCCATCACCCCTGTCTAGGTCCACAGCCATTTACTCATCCTCTACCCATAAGCAGTCCCTCTCCCTTCCCCTCCTCTGGTCCTGGGTGATCATTCATCCTTCTGTCCCTGTGAGATGCCTATTCTGAATTTTTCACATCAGTGCACTAAGATTTCTATTGGCCACATACTATTGAGGAATTGGGTACATTTTTGTTCTGTTAGAAGTGAAAAAACCAGATATGTCAAAGTTATATAAAAAGTAAAGCCCTACAGTAAATGCTTTGATAACATTGGGGGGGAACTGCCTTTCTGTGACATAAGTGTCATATGCCACAAAGGAAATGACTACTGCTCCTAGGGATACCCAAACCTCCTGAGTCAATTTTCCTTCTAGGACAAAACACAAACTCCTGCAATTCAAAACAAAATCACCACATTGGTTAGAAAATGTCAGAGACATTCAATCTCCCAGTGAACCCATACAAAATACATGATACTGAGGTGGCATTTGCCTCCTTCAGACTGACTTGTTGAAGACCAGAACTAGTGAAAATTTGGAGGCAGAAATTCTGGTAGATTCCCTGGGAGATGTGGCCATGGACACAGAACTCTTTGTCAACAACCATCAAAATTCTAAAAGTGTGTACCTTTGCCTAGCATGGCTAATGCCAGGGACTAATTCCACCTATGGAGCTGTAGCATTTTCCAAAATGTGTTTGAAAGACTCCTTCATAGCACAGATGTAACAGCAAGAAATTGGAGTCCTCACTAACATCCATGTGGAGGCTTTTGGTGGAAAAATCTGCTGCAGAGATGCTGTGCACCTGCTGAGGTGGTTCTGTCTGTGCCCACAGGAAAAGGAGTCAAGGAATCTGTTACCTGGAAAAAAAAAAAGATGCATTCATGATGTGTGTACCTAGGTCACCATTTTTCTATGGTGTAAACAGCCACAGAAACATATGTAAATGCACCTGTGCAGGAAAATGTGAGACAGACTGAAAGGGCCACAGAGAGACTCATGACAGGGACCCTGAGTGATCTGCCCAGTCATCAATGATGCTCTCATGGGCAAAAAGTGGGGAATTTTTTATTTCTTAATAAATTGATAAATAATTTTATAATAAAATAATATTTAATTATATAAAACTCCATTCATTAAATTTTATCTCTTTCCAGTCACACGCATAGTAAGTTCTGAGGTTTCATTGTTAAGGGCATTTACTCAAAAAACAGTAACATTTTTTAGGAGTAAACTGCAGGTCTGTATTGGTGTTGCACACCTGTGATCCCAACACTACAAAGGCTGAGGCAGGAGGATAGTTGGCTCAGGACCAGCCCCAGCACAGTAGCTAGTCCAAAAGCAACTCAGTGAGACCCTGACTCAAAATTACAAAGAAAATGTGCTGGCAATTTGGCTTTTGGTACAGTACTCCTGGGTTAAATCAGCACCAAAAAACAAAATAATACAAAACAAACTAAAAATGTGCAGAATTCAACATGCATTAAGAATATGAAAGACAGTCTTCTTATCATGAAACAATGCACTCCCCATGAAATATTCATCCTTCCTATCCTCTTCATCCTATGCAGGTCTGTACATCCTTTATTATTATAAAAATAACAATAACATGACAATATATAACATTATAATGTTATAATAGTAGTAAATTGTACATGTTTTAGTATATCGGCCACAGTCTTCACACCTGAAGTCTCTCTGTGGAGTTGGAAGACTTCATGGGGAAGGCAGGGCTGGCAGCACCAAAGGGCACTAAGCTAAGAGTAGATCATGTAGTATTGGAGGCCATCATGGTCACTGGCAAGAAACCAAGGGACAGGGAATGACTGGACCAGCCCCCTTGAGGAAGCACTTCCAAACTCATTTTATGAGCAAGGAATTATGAGATGCCAAAGCATCTTAAAATTTCATGCAAGGGCTGGGGATGTGGCATGCGCGAGGCACTGGGTTCGATCCTCTGCACCACATAAAAATTATGTCCACCTAAAAAAAACAAAAAATAAATATTAAAAAATAGTCTTTAAAAAATTTCATGCAAACTGAAAAAAAATATGCCAAAAATATTTTGTATGCTTACATCTACATGAAATCCTCAGAATATGTCAATTGAAAGAGATAGAAAGTAGATGAAAATTTGCCTATGCATTGGAATTTGAGGATAGGGATTAATAGGTAAAAGGTCTCTTTTAGACACACCTACCATGACTGAATCATGAAAAAAAGAGAACAGGTGTAAAGACTAATAATGAACAAAGACAATTAATAAACAAAAACCTCTCCAAAAAGAAAAGTCCAGAATCAGACAGGTTTACTAATGAATTCTATCAAGCACTTAAGGAAGAATTAATAACAATACTTTTTTAAACCTTAGAGAAATTGAACTGGAGTAAGCACTTCCAAACTCATTTTATGAGCAATGAATTATAAGATGCTAAAGCCAAATGCAGATAGTATAAAACAATAGCAATACCTACATGCCAATATCTGTCATCTCCTTAGACATAAATATACTTAACAAAATACAAGGAAACCAATTCACAGCACATTCAAAGAATCACACACTAGGATTGTGTGGGATTTACACCAGGGATGCAAGAATGATTCAAAACACACAAATAATTCATGTGATAAACCATGCTGAGAAGATAAAAGATAAAATCATAAAATCATATTATCTCAATAGGTGTAGAAAAATGATTCTGAAAAGATTCAACATTCTTGCATGATGGATGTCCTCCAAAAATTTGGCAAAAATGAAATGGACTACAAGGCAACAAAGGTCATATGGCACCTACCATATCAAACAAGTGAAAAATGAAAGAAGTACCTACAGATCAGGGCCAAGGTGAGGGTGCCTACACTTCAGCAACTTCTTCTCCAAATAGTGCTGGATGTCCCAGCAGGAGGAGTCAGTCAGAAAAAAGAAATGACAGGCATCCAAATCAAAAAGAAGAAGGAAGAGTTGTCTCTGTTGGCAGATGATAATTCCTATTCATAGAAAATGCTACCGTCTCCACTAAAAACTGTTAGGACTAATTTACAAGTGTAGTCAAGGTTCAGGAGACAGAATTCACCTTCAAAAATCACATCAATCTTAACATCAGCTAAATTTACAATAGCCAAGCTATGGAACCAACCTAGCTGCCCCTCAACAGATGAACGGATAAAGAAAATGTGGTCTTAAACACAGTAGATATTCCTCAGCCATAAAGAGGAATGAATTATGGCAACTGCTGGTAAGTGGATGGAACTAAAGAATGTTTCATGAAGTGAAATAAGTCAATCCCAAAAAATCAAGGCCAAATGTTCTCTCTGATATTTAGATGCTAAGCCACATGGAGTGGGGCAGATAAGAAGAACGAAGTTCATTCAATTAGACAAAAGGGAAGAAAGGGAAAGGAAGAAAAATGGAAATAGGAAAGCCAGTGCAATGAAGTAGGCATAACTTTCCTCTCCTTATACACGAACACACACCAGTGTAGCTCCACATCATGTACAACCAAGAGGAAAGAATCCTAATTAGAATAAGTTATGCTTCGTGTATGTATGATATCTCAAAATATACTCTACTGTCATTTATACCTAAAAAGAACAAATTTCTTAAAAAACTAAGGGCAGCCCACTGGGGCAGAAAGCAGGGAGTAGGCAATGCCAGAACTGTCCCAGGAAGGTCGGCCTGCTGGGAAGGGTGTGGCAAAGTGCACACCGCCATGAGTTAGGCACCAGCCACCAGGCAGCAGGAATGCCCAGCCCACCTAACCCAGGCAAATCCCACCTGAGGTGCTGCCTGGCCCCATCCAGCTGGAGACCCCTCCACCCGCTAGCCTATGCTCCTGTGTTGGGCAGAGCCAAACAGGCCAGAACATACCAGGACGTGCTTTAGTTAACACTGCTGATCAGCCTGGGTTTGATCAGTAGTTGAAAATGCTGATCTGCCTAGGTTTGAGCAGCCCCATCCTGAATAACAAAAAACAAGTACACCCTCATAACTCAAGAAATATGCACTCAAAAAAATGGAAACATTTCTTTCTTTGCCACAATCGCCTAGATGTCAATTAGCACAGAAGCAGAAAATCATACACATTTTAGCTTAGGCATTTGTCACACTTAGCTAATGTGCTCCTTTCTTAACACACCAGCATCTCATGAATATTCCTCTGTGTGTCCTGATGTTTTTCTAACATATGTATGACATACAAAAAAATGAGTAGAAACATACACAACACATTGCGGCTTGTCATGGTTCTGAAAAGGGGTCTAGTAGGTGATGTCTTCTCCTCATGGTGGTCTGTGGATGCCACTATGGACAGTGCCAAGGTTACAATAAGTGTCCCCAAAGGCCCAAGGGTTTTAACCCTATCAGCCTGAGGTATTATCTGGACTTGGTGGAATCACTACCAGGGAGTCCTTACTGGAAACAAATCAGTAGAAGTGTTCAAAAGAAGGGAATATTGTGACTCCTGCCTTTCTCTTTTGCTTCCTGGCTATCATTACGTCAGCAGCTTCCTCTGTCCTTGTTCCTGCCATGATGGACTACAAAATCCTCAGGGCCAACTGAACATGGACTGAGACCTCTGAAATCATGAATCAAAACAACTTTATTTCTTGGTAAAGAGACGTATCTCAGGTATTTCTAACAGTCATGAAAAACTGACAAACAAAGCCAATAATACCAATGGCTCAGCAGATTCCGGGGGGGGGGGGCAAAACAAATGGGGCATTATCACACTTTTCTGAATCTTCTGTTCCCACTCAAGGGTGAGGGGGACAATCCCTCCAACACAGCTCCTCAGTCAACTCCATTCCATCTCCTAACTGATATCAACGTTAATAATGTGCAACAGGCATGTGACCACAATGTTCCTTGCTCATACAACAATGTGCTGCCAGTTTTTGACACAATGTCATAAATACCCTTGAACTTACTGTTGTTTTTATTTCTATCTAAGAGTTTCTGGGATACTTGCATTTTTCATTTTCCTGATGCTGCCACATGGCTTTCCACCAAGGGTGGTCCTATCAGCCTGTCCTGGGTACACATGGCCTGATGGGTGCACGGTACTGTCTGGCATGTCTTTAATCACCCTCTTGCCCATGCACGCTCTGGATCTGTACTTAGGTCTCTTTTCTCATGTGTCATCTCCTATGTGTCCGTGACTTCCCTCTTCCTTTATAAGGAAAGTGCAACTAGTGAAGAGATCGAGTTTTTGCTATTTAAGATAACCCATGGTGGAATTGCTCACCTTTCTTCCATAATTGTAAATATACACACATCTTGGTTTCCCAGCTCAATAATTTGTTTAGGTCTTTATCAGTTACTTCCTCCCAGTTTCCTTTGGTACTTAAACATGTAGGTCCAGCTATTTTGTCTTGCTATTTCAATATGGAATTTACATGGGTTTAATTTCTCCACTAATTACAGTTTTGTTATGTCCCAAGAGTTTGAGAATGAAGGGCTTTTCTTTTCAGAGCTTTCACAACAGATTTCAAAACTGCCTAGTCAGTCCTCTTTAATCCAAGTGTATTTAAAACATGTATTTCTTGAATTCTAAATGATAACTTACTGGTCATGTTATTATTTATTACTAATCTTATCAGACCTTGATAAAAATATGTCTTTTTCCACTATTCTGTGTATTGGTTAAGGTTTTTCTTGTGGTCAAATACATAATTAACTTTTGCAGTGATTCCATGGACATACAAATAACATATTGTTTTCTATTTATATGAGCAACAACCTACATACTAAATCCAAGATATTATTCTCTTTACTTCATCTAATTTTGATAGAGACATATTGAAGCCACTCCCTGTCAATGTGTTTTTATTGAGCTGCCTGCCATTTCTAGCAGCGTTGG